TTATTATTTACTAAACTAATTCCAAATAATTAATTTTTTATGTTAAAATCTAAATAAAATTATAATTTAGAAACATTATATTGAACTTAATATTTTACTAAGGAATTTAAGATATGATGGATCATTAACCTTAATGACGTTAAAAATTTTGAGTTTAATAAACCCAATAGCCTGTATGGCGAATAATAAGAAAAAATATGTACATATATAAACATTATATTTACATAAAATAATACAGTTTAGATAGCCATGAATATATCGAGACTAATTTTAGTAACTAAATAATTATAGAAAATATTAAAATATTGTGTAAATAATTACATAATACATTAAAATTTAAAACACTTCGTATCACATCAGCAGTTAATACTGAAGCGCGTCTTCTAAAGGAGATGATCACTAATTATTGTATTATACTTAAATAATAAGAAAAATAAAATTATTTAATGATAAACAAATTTTATTTAAGGAAGGCTCTAATGATAGAAGTTCGGAAACTGCTCTACTGCATAAAATGTAATATTGTATTTTTTTTTTTTAATCAAAAAATACATTGCTGAACAGCAAACCTTAAGTTTCTTTAAAATATACATAAAATATAAATATTTTTTTTAAGAAATGTATGTAATTTTCCAACACATTTTCTTTCGTACAAGTTTATAAATAATTAAGATATTCTATACAAAATAAATTCAATACTATTTAAATAGAAAGAGAATAAAACTAAAATATATCAACATTGACTGTTATATAACAACAGTTGTTGTAATTTATTGTATAATTTCCCTTTATTGCGATGATTAAGGGGAATTTTTTTCAAAATTATAGCATTGATATCTTCAACTAAATAAGTTTTTGGTCTTTTGATGTATCGTTGAGAAAAATCAATTGGGTTAAAAGGCAAAGTAAATCCAATAAGAACTCATCTACATATCGAAGCTAATCAACAGAATTTTACTAAATAATAATAAACATTTCTATTAAAATAGTAGTAATGTACTTTTTAGATCATTTAAAATAAAATAAAACGACATATGGATTTACTTCATTGAAAATGAAGAAATGAGTAAAACTAAAAAAGTAAAATATTGAAGCAATCGATTTGAATTTAGTCTCAATAAAGTGTACAATCAACAAATTAATTAAATTGTGGTTGTTTAAACATGCGTTACAAAAATATTTTAAACATGTTTTACGCATAGTAATTCTCATAGTAAAATATATAATTTTATGTTTATTACGAGATAATTTTTTAAAAAGATTATGCAAATTTTAAGGGGTTATGAATGTTTAGCAGCTTCAAAATTTCAAAGATATTATATACATGATAATACAAAAAAATATTAAAGGAAGGGAAAATTACATACAATAAACCCCCTTCAAAAGTGTTATTGAAATTGTGCCTATGGAAGAAGACGTGAATTTAATTATACCTGCAAATATATTTAGTTAAGGTGTATATACTAAGATCGTTATCTTATTCAAACTTATTCTCTCAAAAACCTAAAAAACTTTACATGATTAAGATACAATATAAAGGGAATAAAAAATAATTTTTAGAAAATACTAAAATACTAAAAACGACCACTGCTAATAAAATTGAACAAGCTCAAAATAAAAACTTAAATCATCATATCAATTTTATTCACTATTAAACATGGCATGGGTTAGTTTTAGTTCAAATTTACGTATTAATATGTACTGTTGCATGCAAGTAAGCATTAGAGGGAATTAGATTAAAGAAAAGTGATATTCAAATTACAACTATAACTTTCACTTCAAAAAATTAAATTATTATTTAGAAATTGTGAATGAAATATAATTATATATTCAGTGTTTATCTCATTAATGTGTTACATAATTTGACTTTAAATGTTTACAAGAATAAATGAAATTCCTGATACAATGCCATTATATTTTAATTAGGTTGAATGTAATAACTTAAGATACGAAAACAGATTAAAATAAACTTAAAGAACCTATTTCAAATATTATTCAACAAAAATATTATAGTAAAATTTTACAATAGCATTAAAAAAAAAATGAATTAAAAAAATTACAATCGCGACTAATTAATTAGAAATAAAAAAAAATTAACCCAACACTAAAAAAGCACTTGAAATGTTTTTAAAATATTACGCAGAATAATCCGAAGTAAGATGACAAGGTAAAGCTTTTAAAGCAATTTTTTACTCCTGTAAATGGATTTAAAAATTGAAATTTCAATAAAACTTTCTTTCATATCTTACCTAATACAATGATTTTTTTCATTGTATTATTTATTATTCAATGATCTCTCATTTATGAGATGAAATATGGATTTTTAATTAATAATTAGAAATATTTTTTAATCAAAAAAATTAAGAGAAATTATATTTTTAATTTGAATATTTCTTTTAGTAAATTTGTTGAAGTTGTTTCATAGCTACTCATATAAGTTTAAATTATTAAAACTTGATAAAAATACAATATATTTTTTGATAATAAAATAGTATTATTTAAGAAGATATAAAGAAAATATGAAACTACTAATTTGAATTTGCTTTAAGAATAATTAATCTTAGTTTAATCAGCATAAGAAACTTTGTTATGCTGATAAATAAATACTAATTAATAAATACTATTTATTATCTAAACTTAAATAATAAAAAAACAACCATTAAAATATTAAAATGTTTATTTAATTATATAAAAAAATGCAAAATTATGCAAAAATGAAGCACATTAATATTTATTTTTTTAATAAAATAGATGTATTTAACACTTCTATTAATATGAATAAAAAAAATCATAGTGTATAAAATACAATAGTCTTATGATGTACAAGCTATTATAAAACAAGTTCTAGAAAAATTTACGTAGAAGGTAAACAAGAATAAAGATATGAAGTCATATGAAGTCATATGAATCTATCGTACTAAAAAATAAGCACAGGTTAAAATATATTTGATTATTATTGATGGTCAATTCTTCAAACAATACTAAGAAAGTAATTTTTCCTTGACGTAGTTATACAAAAATAATAATGAATTATATTTAGAAATAAACAACATAATAATAAATCATTAGGGTAATAAGACGACACAAAAAATATAGTCATTATTGTTTTGCTAAAAATAATTGAATTAAAGAAAAATTTCTTAACCTTATTAGAATCATTCATTTTTATCTAAATAAAGTTTAAAAAATATTAAGTATACCAGCCTTAAAATTATAGAAAAAAAAATAAATAACTCTTTGAAACATGAGCAATAAATTGAAATGAATGTATCATTTCCATAAAGTAAAATTAACTAAAAAAAAATTTTTTCTGAAAATATTTAATATAGAAAAATTTATATAATTTCAGATATATTAATAAAAATATAGGTTATTTGGTGTATATTTAACACAATAATTGTTATTAATTTAAAGTTTTCTCTATGATGTTTATATTTTTGGTGAAAAAAAAAAAATTTACATAAAATATAGTTATCAAATAATTTTATTAATCGCAAAAACGATTTTAACCCTTTTTTTTAATCATTAATTCCTCACATTTTTTATTAATAATTTATATATACACCCCATGAAAAAACTTTTTAATACTCAACACTTTCAGTATTGGTAGAAAGAACTTACTAAAATCTATTTAATGGTCAATTAATTAAATACAATACTTCATGAAAAAAACAGTATAACCCAAAAATACATTTCTTTTCTAAGAGCTAAAGAATTTAAATCTTGATCTTGGTTATTTAATTAAATTTCAAATAATCGATGTGTCAACGTTCAACTTGCAAAATAATTTTTGCTTTAAAACAAGTTAATGAGCAATACATTTATTAACTCGAAGCCAGTTGTTAAAAAGTAGAAATCATAATAAATCAAGCAGAATTATGCTATTTTTAAATAAATACTTACAATTCAGTCACGTAGTAGTTACATATCAAAAAACAAATTTTTAAATAAATTTAAAAAATTATTTTTGTAGTTCGAATATTTTATCTTACAGAAAAACATAATTAACATAAAAAAAAATTAAACGACGGAAAAATATTCAATAACACTTCGTGTATCGTTAAGTGAAAAACCTTATTAGACATTATCTAATTGCAAAACATATTTAAAACAACGCGAGCAAAAAACAATTATTTATATATTTAAAATTTTGATTAAATCAAACAATACCAATAATTAACACGAAAAAACATGATATAAAAACTCAGACGAGTGTACATTATTTTATTTTTAAGATAATAGAACAACAAAACAATAAAAATACTGTTTGATAACATATTACATTTACAAGTTATTACTTTCAATTTATAATAACTACTGTAATAAAAGAAAAATATTGTAAAATCTCCTGATCTGATTTTTTTAAATATAATTAAAAACTTGTAAATTAAAACGACAGTGTATTAAATATATCTAGATACTAAACATTTGAAGTCTATATTGAAATTTAATAAATAATTATTTACAAACGTTTTTTTATATGTTATGAACTTTACTAAACGAATTAAAGAAAAATGCCAGTGATTGTTCATTAATATTAAACATATTAATCACACAATAATTGTTCAATTTTGGTTAAAAATCAAAATCAGAAACAAAATTTACATAAAAAATATGTAATTATGAATAAATTAAATACTAATATTTTTATCATGTCTAAGCATTTAAACGTATCCACATCATTTAATTACAGGCTCAAAATTTAAAAAGAAAAATAAGCAAAAGACACTGGACTATTAGTTAAAACTATTTGGTGAAGATTTTAGTTTCGAATCTATCTGAAACATATTAAAAAATAATCTGTATACCCAAGTAAATTTTCTTAAGTTTTTATGTCATGTTTTGAACCAATCTAAGGATTGTAAAAATAAAAAGTTCATGCTAATTTTTATGGGACAATTGAATTAAAAAGATCATTTAAAATAATTTAACTTTAAATTTCCTAGAACAATACTGTAACATAATAAACTTATGAGTTCTATGATATCTGCGTATCTCACCTTATTCTGGTCCGGTTCTATTTTAGCGTCGGAGATATTCATTTTGTTATAATTTCCAAGGCTTAGCAATTGAAAAATACACGAATAACTCGCGCAAATTAATCAACTGTCATAAAATAATAAACATTATTTTTACTTTTTGAACTTTATCCCTTATACCACATAATCGCACTGTTAAAAACACTTAAAAGTCTTTTATAAAATTTTGTTGATGATATTAAATAAATAATCAAGTTATTTTGTTTCGACAATCAAGGTTAAACGCCATTTCACAATCAAGAACTATTTTAATTTAGGACAAACGAGAAACAACTAGCAAGCCATGAAAAACTACAGATATCCTGAGCAAGCCGGTCTTACTTCACTGGCAAGTTGAACAAGCGGCAACTATAGACATTAGTCTGCCATTCCACACCATGGCGTTTGAACCGTATTAAAGGAGAAGGGAATACATAGAATAACCGGTAAAAGTACTTATCTAGTAACCAGTTAACTAACCTTACAGAGTACCTCTGTATATTCGAAATGCGGCTTTTAAAAATAAAATGCATCATTTTGATTATAAAATAATCAGAGATTGATGTTTAGAAGAAAGAAATCTTAAAAAAATAAACTTTCCTTGAAAATTTAGTTAATCCTTAATAATACGAAATAATTTGTTTTAATTTTATGAATTTTTTAAACATCAAAAAAAGTCAAAATTATTTGTTGGCGGAGAGAACTAAAAAAAGATATACAAATCACATAATAACACATTTTTTAATATATGATAATTAATTTCATAATGTATTTAAACTCAGTGAAAGACATAAAAATGTTACATATTTTAAACAAAGTACAACAATTAACTGACTTGATACCGACTACATACACTTAATCAGATGTCGCAGGTTGTTTAGTTATTTTTTAGTCGATGATCAAAAAAAATTATAACGAAAAAATTTCATAATGTCAATAAAATACCATATTATATATAGTATATTACATATACTATTCTTATGAAGATCTAATATATCAAATTCTAATTTTACTAAGAAAAAGTTTATCATAATAAATTATTTATTTTTTAAGAAGCGTACTCAAAGGTAACAATAAATAATATTGGTAAAACCTCTTTTAAACAGAATATACCTTTAAGGCGCATTTTTATTATTTCTTTAGATTCTAGTAAATAGTTATAACGACTATAGCTCTTGCAGCTAGATTTATAGGACTCTTTGAACATATTAGTGAACTAATAGGACACTACGTATAGTTGGAATTACCGAAAAACTACTTGATATTACTTCGGCGAAAAAACTAAATTACTACAACTTGGTAAAGGTACAAAACAGGGAACCTAAAGCTTCGAGTGCATAAGTAGTTCATGTTCATCTGATTAAAAACTATAAACTACTACTCAGGCATAAAAATCATCTGAATGAAATTTTAGGAGTCTCTTCTGATTTCTGTCATAATTCCCAAAAGTAAAAAAAACATGTTATAATATAATATTTTATAGAAAGCAAAATGAAAATCCCAGAAATGAAATTCAAATTATTCCTGTTTACGAGACTAACAAAAATGAAATGTATTACAAATACTATTTTAACTCAGAAGCTAAAAATTTAAGGTAACAAAACTGCCACCTACCCATACTCATCAAATAAAATGTATAAATTATCAAACAAATAATTTAGTGATGATCATCTCTTAACCTTATTACAGTGATTAATTATTTTACTATTAATAGAAATTAAAAAAAAATGTAATGTTATTCTAATTATAAGATAGTAATTTCAATGATCATAAAAGTAGAAAAATAGTTATATTTAAAAGCCAAATTTTGAATACCATGAAAAATAATATATACACGGATAAATGTGTAGGATATTCAACACTTAATTAGATAAGCAGAATAATGATTTTTACTAATATAGTTTAACTATAAATATTTAAATTGTGTCATTATTAGAAGAAACAATTTTATTTATTCAAAATTAAATAAAGTAATAGTAGCACAACATCATTAAACATTAAATAAAAAAGACATAGTACTAATAAACTTTAAGTTAAACAATGTAATTTTTCATTGGTAAATAATCTTTGCATAAGATAAAAAATTGAATCCACCACACTTGTCCTATTAAACTGTATTAATTAATGATTTTAAAAAGTAACACTCGCAAAAGTTAATAATTATATGATAATCTAATTGAGAAAATATCTGATTATTTCGTACTTTTAAACAATTATTTTAGAAGATTTCTATACTTTTAAAACTAAGCAAAAAAAGAGGCAAGGCAAAAAATATCTATAATTAAATATATTTAGACCAGCTTCTCATCATAGCCTTAATTTTATTCTTAAAAAATATTGATTTTAAAGTTTTTTTTGACTAGTAAATTATTTAAATTAACTAATTTTTTATTGGCAAGCTAAAACTTTACGGCGCAAAAATGTTCATATCAAAGTAAAGAGAATAAACCATTTAAAATTGTTATTTGAAACTTTTACTCTTCAACTGATATTGCGTTTATCGGCAAAGAATTAAATTTACTTAGATTAAAAACTAAAAATGTCATGGGTGTATTTCAAAAAATATACAAAGACTCGTTTAGACTAAAAATTGCTTTAATATACAAATTACTAGACATTGTTCAAAATAAAATAAAAGAAAACACTATTAAATATTAGCCTAAAATCTCCCTCAAGCCATTAGCAAATAATTTTCACAAAGCTATACAAAAATCACATTTCATACCTCATAACAAAATAATTTTTAATTTTATCAATAAATTTATTTGAGAAAAATATAAACAAATAAGTATTTAGCAACACATCCACTATTATATAGACAATTTACAACTCTTTGTCAAATAAGCTTAAAATCCTTCTTAAAAAAAAATAAAATATTAAACAATATAACTCACATCTACAATCTCTTTCTACAACAAATGGTTCTCTTTGAAAGAAAACGAAATCACTTTTAAGACACAAATTTACTGTGCCTCTCTTCAAATTTTAGAATAATTCTTTAGCCATCACAAACCAGAAAAAATCTGACATTTTAGTCTGAACAATACAGCGTTTTTAAACCCCATAACATAGTATCAGAATCCAACCACTTAGAAAACATAACACAAGTAATTCAATATCCACTGGCCATACCAGACAAACATAACTTAAGAAATTCTTGATATTATAAAGTTCCTCATAAACAAGTCTCAGGGCCACAACAAGATAAACCACAAACTTCTAAAAAAACTTAGCCCTCAAAAGAATAATTTTACTTTTTATATTTACAATGATAAACTTCACTTCTTTTATTTTCCAACAGCTTGTAAATCTGCAGTTATATTTACTATTCAAAAACCAAGTAAATCTCCTAATAACCCTGTATCTTACAGACCTCATATGTTTGCTCCCAGCTTTTGGAAAAATCCTTGATAAATCAATTCTTAAAGGAATATTGCCATTAATTCACTGCCCAACTTTCAGTTTGATTTTCGCAAGACACTTCTTATCAACTTCATAGAGTTGATAATTACACTGCCGAGACACGCTTGAGACAAAAAAATAGTAGAGAATTAAAGTAACTCTTTAGTTTTCAACTAAATTCAACAATACTAAAACTATTCAAGTTACGTTCTCCTTACGACATCTGAACTGTACCAAAATCACATACTACAGCAGAGTAATACCTCATAAAAAAGAACTCAAATACCATGGATTGGTTTTCGACTATAGACTTATCTGGAACCCTCACCATTAATCAAAATGAAAACTAGATAACCATCTGCCATTAAACGAACTCATATTATACAAATGTTTAGTTCAAATAATGCGCTCTTACGTTATTTTATTTTGGAAACGTCTAAAATATACTTGGTGTAAATTTAACTACCAATCAACTAAGAAAAAAAGAAAAATTATCAAATTTATATTACATATAATTAATATGCTGAAATACTTAACTATTATTATGAGGAGCTCTAATGTGAGCTAGCTATTCATGTTATTTCAGACTTTAGCACGTTTAATTAATGTACTTATTGTGTAGATTGTAAATATTCAATAATAAAACTTTTTTTTAATAAAAAAATATAATATAACTGCTAAAATAAATTTTTTCTTGAAATATTATAATTAAAATATTATACCTCAATATTTATAAAATTATAAAAGTTAAATAAGAAGGATAGAAGTCATCTAATTAATAAAACCCACACAGTGAATAAATGAAATAATTAAATTTATTATTTGAATATTATGTTAGACGATGAATAAATAGAAATTTTACAATGTAAAAATCTACTAGTAAACAGAACAAAACATTCTATGAGCACACTTAAGTCACTACAGATTTATTTTTGTGAAAAGAAAAAAGCAAATATGTATAGACTAGGAGTAAATTGTAACCAAAATCAAGATAATAAAATTATGTTTATTCAGTTTTTTTTTTTCGCTGTTTACACACCATATAAAAAATTTGAAAAAAAAATCATTTAAATCTAACTAAGTTTTGCCGATTTATTTTTAACACTCCTTGTACACCTGGTCAGTGTGACATTGAAGCAGATTTATTGAATTGCCAAGCACTTTATAAAAAGTACAGGGGAAATCATGAAAATTAGTAAAATTAATTGTAGATGATAAAAATTTAGATGAGGATATGACAAATAGATCACCTCCTTTCATCGCCTCAATCACCTGCATGACAAAGAATCCTACAAAAGCGAACTAGTTTTCTTTTGAATTAATGAAAAAGATCTTATATTATAAATAGTAAGGGAGTATTAACTAAGAAAGAACTTGAAGATATAGCTATAAAACATGACAGGGAATTTGAGAAAAATAAGTGAAAAGTAGTGCTGGGAATTCATAAATATATTAAAGAATATAAAAAATGTCTTAAATTAAACTGTGAAAAAAAAAATGAAAAATATTAGATAAGTTGGAAGAGATATAATAGGAAAAAAGTTTAATGATAGTATTTATTACTTTATTATATCATATATTTTTAAAAATAGTGTGCAAGACATATTGAAGACATCATTAGTTAAAAAAATTAGTGGTTATTTTATGTTAACAGAGAGATAATATTTTAAATTACACAAAAATATATTTTAGTATAATGAGACTATAACGCAGTTGTAGTATTAGTTATCTATCAGAGAAGATTACCTTTTATTATTTATTCAGTTTTACAATTAAGTACTTGAATGCATTACTTGTTGATATCAGTGGCATAGCCAAGGGGTTTAAAGAAACTATATCTCCATATTGGCCTATTATAACTATTAACAGTATAAGATTTTAATTACCTGAAAAAGTTCTGGATCAACGAATACTTTAGCACATAATTTTGATATTCACTCAGCAGATAATTATTTTTTTTATACAAATTCGATTGCCTAAACTATTAAAATTTATTTAGTTAATCATTTAATGTTTAGTAAGAGTTTATTTCTAACATTGTAAAGTAACTTAACACTTTAAATGGGTTATCATTCAATAACTTATCAAATAACAGTGAGAGATAATATTAACAATGATAGCAGTCAGCCTAAAATTAACTATAAAAATTAATTTCTTCTGGTTTAACCATAAGTAAAAGTTAATTCTATGATTTAATTTTTTCAAGCTATACTTATATTGAATGATAATTATTGAAATCATTTTGATACTCATTTAATGATCAAATTTAATATAATATCTATTTTACCGTATAGTATATCTTGACCTAGATAAATTTAAATATTTGAAGTTAAAAGCTAATCTAATGCAATATGTCTGCAATTTATCAATCTATAGCATACGAAAAAAGAATTAAAATAAGTTTAAAAAACTCAAAACCTTAATTTATTTAAAAAAAAAGAATTACTATTTATCCAATAATTAAAAAATACAAATTGTATTTTAAGGGTCGTAAATAAAAATAAAAACATAATACAACTTTAACGAAAACGATGAGAAGTACAAGGTTAACATCAATTCTTCATTAATATTTTTTAATAGTGCTTGGCACTGCATATTTTGACCCTAGTTAAACACTTGAGGGATTAATCTTCTTTTCCAAGTAGATTATATAATATAACATTTTCAACTGAAGAGGAGGAACTAACACAACTAAATTCCTTCATAATTGAAGAAACAGTGAAACCTCATTTCAAAGAAAACACCGAGGACAAAAACATTACAAATAGGCACATACTTACAGATGTAAACTTTAGAAGACAGTATTTTTTTTAATTGTCTATAGTAATTGTGTATTGAACATACATGAAATTTCAAAAAAATATATAATATAATAAAATGTAAATATTATATCTATATACAAATTCCTTGAGCCTCAAAATTCAAAAAAGGTATATTGGTAAAAAGTAATTGTCTAAAATATTTACAATAAAAATATTGTTGATCTGTGTAGTTTACAAAAAATTGTTTTAATATAAAGTGGAAACTAAAAATATCAATCAGTTATTTTATTACAATTTATAATTTTTTGGGAAATTTCTGTTGTATGAGAATTAGAGAGAATATTTCCAAATTATGACACTGATAACTTAAACTAGATACTATTTGAGATCTTTTGATGTATCATTGAGCTAAATTGGTCCGATATAAGAAGAGTATTATTGTCAAAAATAAAATGTAAAAAAATGATAATAATACACAACATATTAAAACCAATACCTTCTCTAGTAATTATAAATAATTATGAATTTGAAAATTCCAACTATAAATTTTTTTACATAATGATTAATTTATCAATGACAGCTCAATATCTTCTAAAATAATATTATTGAAAAAAATGTTTTATAATAATTTTTAAATATAGCAATATAATTTTTTTAAACAGATACATGCATAATTTACTAGTTGAAAACATTAACATAATACATTTTTATGTCTAGGGGTGAAATAATTAAAACATTTTAATTTTAATAAGAACGTCTTAACTATTAATTCAATAAAATGGAATTCAATCCAGAATATTAAATTAAATTTTGATCTGCATAACAGATTGAACGAAAATAATTTATAAAAATAAAACTAATTTTTTTGTTTTGTAAAATAAAATAATATTTAAAACATACATTTTTTATTTAAAGTTATCTACATATATATATATATATATATATATATATATTTACTAAGTACTTTCTTGAAATATATTATCAATTATATACATGTTATTTAAAAAACAAATCCTTATTATATATATAATAGAAAAGTTTACGGGGGCATAACTTTTGGAATTGGTAAAGACGGCATAACTCCATTTGTACCATTTGTTTGGGTTTGGTTAATTATTGGTACATTTGTTTTATTCATAAGATTCATATGATGTTCATGGGCAGTATGAATCATTTTCGTACGCCGTCTCGTATAATGCTGCCATATTAAAAGGAGTTGATCATCAATGAATTTTGAACAAACAGCAGTTGCTATTTCTTTTCTAAATGACTCATGTTGCAAAAGATCCAAAAAATATAAGCACATTGGAAATCTAAAACAAAAATTTCTATTATTTGATAAATGGGTTATACAAACTTATTTGTTATAAACTACAAATATTTCATTTTTCAAAAGAAACATCAACATACTCCAATTTATAAATATATTTACACACAATAATGTCACTATTTTAACATTTTACAGCTTAAAATATTCCTTTTATTTAGTGATACAATTTTATATCAGTTGTTGTACATTTACTTGGAATATTGCAAGTGCTTTAGATTAATAACACATTATTAAAAATCATGAGAAATTAATACTTTTGATACTATTTAAACGTAGTTGTCATTTACAACAATGTATATTTATTTGGCTTACCTCTAACTGACAATTGAAGTGTAGGGTTGTCAAACTTTTTTGGAGGAGATAATAATAAATTTTCCCCCTCCAAAAAATAATTTTTATATAACAGTGCATATAATTTTAGTAAATTTTTGGGGTGGCTAAATTTTTAACTGAGAAGGTTACACTCTCCTACCCCCACCTTACGCCTTTGCTAATAGAAAATAGACTTATAACATTTATATATCATTAAGTGTATTATTTTCATTAATGAGTGTACAAAGCAACATAATTAGTAGTATTCTATTGAGTTATACAAGGCAAAACTAGGGAGTTAAGGAAATTTAACTATCATACAAACAAAATAGTAATCGAAAATTATATTTATTCCATAATCAGAGCAATGAAAAAAACTTGAAGAAGCTTCCAACAAATTTATTTTGTTTAAGTATAAGATACTAAACAGTTTAAGTTATTACTTAAACTTGGTTAAAAAATTTAAAAAATAATTATCTTTCATTTAGTAATTATTTAAGTATGAATGTTACGTATTTACCAACTAATTAAGTTTATAACTACATCTCTACAATCTAAGAAGTTATTAACTGTTTTTAGTGTACCCAATTTTTTTTTTTTTAATCGGTAACATGCTAATCTGAAAATGTATTGATAAAATAAAAATTAAGGATTGAAAATTTTGTTTTTATCTTCATTATATGTTTTTAATGTAATGATGAATATCAACATTATTTTAAGAACTTACATTAATAGTAGATATGCATTCTAAAATTATTATAATGATAAAATAAAGTTCCATTTATCTAATTTTCGCATCAATCAACAACTTAATAAAATAACATGATTAGTTTTAAAAATAAAATTTATATTTAATAGATATAATTAAAAACCAGTAATGGCAATGACTTCAACAGACACTTCTCTGCAAGCACTCTTTTTAATGGTAAACCAAATTACCAATATGGTTGGTTTACTACTAATTTATTTTAGTCAAATGTAAAAATAACACTCATTGCAAAAGTAATCAATTAAATTTTAAAATATTAATTTATTCAAATCAAAACATACATGTAAGATCATGCAAGTAAGAGTACTAGGAGGTAATAGATTTTTATGCACTTTAACACTTTGTATGAGAATGAAAATATGTTTAATGTTATCAAAACTAAGAAACTTAATTTTTTTTTTTAATAAGGATAAAAAAAACCTATATCAGAAAATCAACAATATTTTTTTGATGTTAGAAATAACTGAATTACAAATATGAGTATTACCATTCATTGACTGAAATACTTACTTTATAAATTTGGCATAATCTGGTTCTTTCCAATATAGTAAATATTTCAAATAATTAACAAAAGATTGGTCTTTAAAATAGCCACGTTGAGCTAAAACTGTAATTAAAAATAAAATTTATATATTACAAAAACTAAAAATCAAAGCTTAAATACATTTTTATAAAAAAAACTATATTAATGTAAAGTTAATATTTAGCTTTTATGAAAGAAAATCGAACTGATAATATTAATTAATTAACACTAGTAAATTAAGTAACTCTAACTAACAGTTCAAGTAATTTGGATTTGCCAGACATTGTACAAATTCCAATTCAATTTGAAACCTAAGTCTTGATTGATCTTCAGTTTCTGGACCATCTAAACAATATTTAACTATAATCATTAAAAATGAATATTTAAAAAGAAAAACAATGTATTTGATTTTTTTTTTTTTTTTTGAGAATACTATTGTGTATTAAATTAAATATTCATTTAGCTTATATGAACCATTTGAGGCTATAGCTGCTTTTCCAAAAAAATATTTCAATATTTTATATTTTAGAAAAAATATTTCATTTATAATCCAATAAGAAATAATGACTTCAATTAATAATTAATTGCTCACCCAATTAACAGGACACCCATAACAAATACTCAAAAAAGTATTGGCATAAAGTAAATCTAAATACTTACTTTTACTCGCCATAGCTTGATAGTTAGATGTTATATTCATTAAGTTAATATAAACCACTTTTTATTATAACATTTTGACTAATATTTAACGTATAAGTTTTAAGTTCTCTACTTAATTTATCATGTCTCAAAAATAATGAGTTACAATGACGCTGATAGAAATGATAAGATTATCTTATCTATTCTGTGGTGACACGCTATAGTAACTAAATACTTGGATAGACTACGGCGTACACAATTTTGGCAGTCCAATTTTTATCATGAATGGTCACAGGAAAACAATGCACCAGACGCAGGCGATTATGCTGATAGATAACGTAAAATTTGAGAGTTTCTATTGGTTAAAATATACGTGGTATTTTAAATCTTTAATAATTATTAAATGAATGTATGAAGCTCATAATTAAACAGTTATACACGTTATTTGCATTTTATGACATAATGTACGGTTTTTTATGATTTTAACTCTTTGTAATTATTTTTTCATTGAAATTTTATTTAATTTTTTATTTTAATACTATACTAAAAATCCTTAACAGAACTTTGTCATAAAATGTGGTATTATAGTAAAAGACTAAACTGTTGGCCTAGATATATTTTTATAAATCATTTTAAACAGAAAGCAGTGGCAAATTAATTGTTTTGTAATTAGGATAAGTTCAAAAATCTTTATGATAAAAATCATTATGGGAGCTGTGCCCCAATATCATAAAGCTATTATATTATATTTATTTTGTATTTGTATTACTATATCAAGATATATAATAATCACACCTAATAGTCCATAAATGGCTTTCCTCTTATTAGTTCCGCTTCAAATATTTCATTTATTTTAAAATAGTATCCCGTTAAATTTACCTACGTATATGGTATCCAATTGAAACCAAATTTTCCAGGGATGCCAAATAATATGTGGTAAACTGGGTGTTCTAAATCCACTTTGAACACGTGGATAAGTGTTGTCAGGAAGAGTCAAAATAATAACTAATTATAATGTAACATTCACTGATTCAACACTGACCACTGAGATGATGTTCAAGTCTTCTTTTATATTTATATTGTTCATTAAATAATCATTAAAATATTAATACTATAATACTTTCTAGTAATTATAATGTTACATATAAATTCTTTAAAACTAAAATTTACAAAATAATTATGGGTTCATGACACCATCACCCTTAAAGAGAAATAATATCTAAAATATTATTTCTAAAAATTTTTAATACATAATACATTTGAGTCACAATAGGGTACACAGCAAATTGATATAAGTTAATACAAAACAATGATACAAAGAATAAATAATTAACAGTCTTTTCATATATATAAAAATGTAACATATTATAAATACATAAAATAACCTATATTAAAATTATGTATTATAAATTCTAAACAACCAAAAATTATGAAAAATATAAAATTTTTAAATTTGTTAAAATAAGATATCTGATACTTTGCTATTATTTTAATTTTTACTTAAAATTATATTTCTAATCTAATTAATTTATCAAGATAGTAATACGATACTTAAACATGATTTTGCATGTTTATACATTTTTTTTTATATAATAATAATAAACACTATTTTTGTATCTAGCCTTTCTGAATGGAGTATTTTATTTTATTCATAACTATAACTTAATAATTTATTACGAATACATTTATCATGTATCATTTTTTCCACTTAACACATCACATAGTTAAGATAGCATAATGAGTTAATGAGTATTAACTTGTTGGTTCATTCTTTTTTGTAGGTTATAAGTAAATTCAATACAAGTCCCTTCTTAAAAAATATCGTTAATAAATATTCCTGACATGATAAAAATAATTTAGATCATTAAACTTTTATATAACTCTTATTTTGAACAATTAATTTATAATTTTTATGAAAATAACAAAAAAAAGAATATAAAACAAAACAAAAATATATTTATTTACAAACAAAACATAAAATATATATCCCTTTATAATTTAAAATTTAGAATTCAATAAACAATAATAATTAAATTAATTTTTATATAATTAATATACATTTTTTATTTTATTAAAATTTTAATTACTTTTAATTGAATTTTGCTATCTCTAGACAATGGTAATGACTAAAATTAATATCTAAAAGAATATTTTATATTATCTTTATACTATCGAAAGTAACACCCCATCGCCCTAAAAGAAGAATTATAATTTTAATTTATTTCATAATCACTATTCATATTTTCACTAGAGTACTGAAGACTAAGGTCCACTTTTGCTTGGTTTTTCATTTAAAATATTAATTTGTACTATTATCTATACATTTATAATTATAATTGTAACAATGAGTACATTACGAGGAAATAGGTGTATATTTTTTAATTGCTATAAAAATAAAAGAGAAAACCCAAATTTCAGATTCCACTGTTTCCCAAAGGATGATCGATCGATGCAATGGGTATTAAACTCTGGTATTTATAAAGTACTTTTGTACACTGAAGAATAATTTAAAAAAATTGTATTTTATATTTTTAACCAATTACTAAAGTTTAGTAACTAAACCATTAAAAATAATATTTATAAATCGTTCTATTTTTCAATATTTATCATAGCCAAATTTTTATCGGAATATCTAATTCTATAAGGTACAGAATGAGTAGAGCTATTTTTATAACTAGACATTTCCTAGCCGTACTCTTCCTCTCGCTTAAGTATAAAAATATCAAATATGATGAAAATAATAAATTAGAACAATTTATGAAAACATTAGGTGTTATACACGTGAATTATTATTTTTTAATGAACATTTGTTTTTCTTTTAAAAACATAATTATCTAGAAATTACTTCATAAATGTTATTACATTACTTATTAATTACTAGAAATAAAAATAATTAAATTTATGTGAAAATTAATTTCTGAAAGAGGATACAGATCTTATTAATGAAAATGAATATTTAATCATATATAAAACATTTCAAACGCAAAATCAAAAAATTACTGGTAATTTTAAAAAACCAAAAGAAATTTTAATGAATTTTGTTACTAATGTTCAACAGATAATTCATCATTTTTTAAATGAAAAGTCGTATACAACACAATTGAGATTTAAATTAAATAGTATAATCACAAATGAATTATATCCTATTATAAATATTTCACAAAAGTGCTTACCACACTTAGAATATTTAACTATAACTTTAATACATAGTAATATTTTTAAAATATTTAACTCGAGGTTAAATTTTCTAAAGATGGATTTCGTGGATAAATTAAAGATTCTAAGAGGAACCTATTAACTTCTAATTTTATAATTTTTAATGATCTGAACTTTGATTAAAATTGCTTTATTTGTTTGAATATTTTTTTTAAAATATTTATAATTTGTTTTTTTTTTAATTATTATTTCATTGTATATTTGAAAAATATATTACTTAATTTATATATGAAAACCTTATACAATGTGTAATTATCAATAAATATCTCATTTAGACTTGATTAATGGCAAGTTAAGCAAGTTAATCACAAAATAATATAAAAATCATGACAGTGGACACATCGGTAGCGAGAAAATTGTAATAAGTTAAGATTCTCAACACTAAGAGAAAATTAAAAGAAATAAATTACTGTCAAATTTAAATAAATATTAATAAAATAAAACCCAGCACAGGGGGGTCGCAGCACAGTGGTGACGTGGCATAGTTGGATTAAGTATAATGATATCTGACAGTGATTAAAATCACTATCAAAAAAAAATGATTCAATGCAAATCTTTAGATAGTGTTTAATTTTAAAAAATTGGTGGATTATTCCAAAAGCTACATGATCTGCTAGTTCCTTATTAATATTCTGATAAAGATAAAGTATGTCGAATGAAATAGGGATTATTAAAAAATATTATTTCTCATAAAAAAATTATGTTGATCCATACACTTTTCAATATGTTATACCATTATAAAGTTAAAAATGTAAAAAATAAAATCGAGAATATTCACACAATAATAGCATTTGGTAGACATTTTCACCGTGAAGACAAAATAAAGTCCGAAATTTTTTTTTTGCATAATAAAGTACATTACATTAGCTTTAATTTAAGATATATATAAGTGTCAGATTTTCCGGAACACTTTCAAAATTTAAGTTGAAAAAGTAAATTTTTTGTGAAAAAGTTGTCATTTTAAATCTTCCCCTGTGGGCAAGTAAAGGGTCAGATATAAAAAAAAAATATACCAAATGAAAGGTAAAGACATCAAGCATCTATAAAAAAAAAATTATATTGATATGTTCATTTTTGAAAAAGTTACGGCACATTTAAGTAAAAAAAATTGAAAAAATTTCGAAAATTTCAAAAATTAGGGATTTTTATATTTGTAATTTTTTTTTGAGGTTTCCCCCATTTACGGGGAACGAGGGAATTTTTTTCAATTTTTGAGGGTAATGTCTTCGACTAGATACAATTTGTGATCTTTTGACGTATCATTGAAAGAAATCGGTTCGGTGAGAGCTGAGAAAAAGTGGAAACAAACACAAAAAAAAAAAAACACATCATAGTAAAACCAATACCTTCTCAGCTTCGCATCGAATCTAAAAAACACATGTTTTATCGAATTCGCATTTAAAACGAAAAGTCTCATTTAAATCAAATAAGCAATGGACTTTTGGTAATAACTGGTTCTTATCTTAATTTGTACTAACGGTTTTAGCCGTACATCAATAATATTTGAATATCAACAAACTGGACAATTATTATTAAATATTTAATATTTCTCGAGAGAATATATAGCGCTATGTCTACGGGTATAAATTAACAAAAAATCGCTTGTCAATTGTCTGATTGCCATGGCCTATCTATGTGTATTTAATCTATGTTAAGTAGTAATTGATAACAGAGTCAATTAGGCTGACAATCTTTAATACTAGAATAATGTCAATACCAGCAGATAATATTAAATATCCATTAGCATTACTCTCAACACAAAAAGTGCTGAAAATTGGATTAAATTTTTATTCAGTATTGTATCATCAAGTTAATAATTAAATATTATAAGTACAGTCGGAATCCAGAATAGTGAAGTTAAAGCATTTTTTTTACAATAGTATTGATTGATATTTGACAATAATTAAAGTCACTGTTTTAAAACGCTTTAAATACGATAATGCGTATTTAAAACAAATTAAAAAACTGAGTACAGATGGGTCGTGGCATAGTCAAGTGTACATAATATTTGACAATGTTTAACATCACTGAAATAAAAAACACTCCGATGACAGACTGTTAAATTTATTTATTTAATTCAATTTAATACATTGTATATTTTTAATTTTACAATTTCTCTTAAAACTAAATGCTTGTTAAATTATTTGCTTAATTGAAAATAACGTTATTTTTTGCTTTCATGGGCAATTTTTCATTGTACAACAATCGTCGGCCTTTTTTTTCTATAGTATATTTCAATAGTCCAATTTGATATAGGTTAAAAATTATCAGACCTTCAGGAGCATTTTTAAAAATCAAATTTAAAAACATATTTTACATGCGTGGGTGGCTTTTATGAACTCTTTTTGTACATAGGTTTCTCATCACATTTTCAGAAAAATACACCAAAAAGAAAACTTGTTGTCGTCTCTAGTATACTCGATTAATATTTTATTTGTAATAGTGTTTGTAAAAAAAGTTACATCAGATTAAAAAAAACACATCAACACGAAACCTCAGCTTAGCATCGAAGCTATAACTACAAAATTGGCTGTTTTTACCGAAAATTGTATAATTATTGTCTTTAAAGTCCAATAACTCCTAAAAATCAATATTTCAGATTATTTTTATTTTTCACCTTGTAATGTATTTAGGAGGAATGTCAGAAGATTTTAATAGTCATAGAACAGATGTTTTACAGTATTTTAACACCCTAGAACAGGTGATATACATAATATTTTAACCTTTTTTGTTCTTTTAACATATATTTTCTATTATAAGATGACAAAAAACAGTTAACTTGCACATTAACACATACATTTTCCAAGTAAATTAAAAAATATATTTGTACACCAATCTCTCACGATTCCACCTTTTCAATAAGGAGGTAAGGGTATTTATAAAATATTTACTAAAAAGGCATTTTAAAATGATCTTGGTGTACAAATATCTATTTTTATAAAGTAGAATACTATTTTTATCCACTATATTTTATTAAAATGACTGGGACATTTTATTAGAAGACTTAAATAAGAAACAGTCAAATCATATATGTTGTGACACCGCTCTCTTGAAAAAATCTTGCATATGTCACTAGTAAATTGTATTATTTTAAATTTTTAATGTAGGTTTAAAGAAGACAGGATATTCAGAACATTATCAAATATTGAAAAGAAAAAAAATCATAATTCTTAAATCCCATAGTATCGTAGTAAATGATATGGTTTTTAAAAAAAGTACGTTGTTGGCAAAGCAACTGTTTAAAGTATTATCAATAAAAAATTTCGCATGTAATTTCAATATAAAGTGAAAACTAAAATTTTCAATAATGACTGTTTTATAACAACTGTATTTTTTTGGACATTTTCAATTATAACGGCGATTGAGAGAAATATTTCAAAACTATAGCGTTGACAGCTTCAACTAAAAAAGTTTTTTGATGAAGTGTTGAGCAAAGTATGAGTAATCATGTATACAGACACAAAAAAAACATGACTTAGTATAATCAAAAAATTGAATGTATTTATATATTCTCTAAGAATCTAAATATTCTAAATAAATAAATTTTTTACGAAACATACTATCCTTTGATTTAAAATGAATATATTTTTTTTAATTGTTAAATGTATAATTACGATTAGTGTCTGCCAGACCACCTTGGTCTGGACACACCTTAGACCACCTTGGAGAACACATGAAATTGTTTTAAATTTGAGGATAATGTTTTCAACTAGAAACACTTTGTAATATTTAAACATGCAAAATAAATCCAGTAATACCGGAGTATTCATATGGATTAACCGAATAAAAAAACAATTAAAAACAAAGATTTTCAGTCTGAATATATTCATAAGTTATAATTGTCAGATAGTATTACATAAATTAGCAATTTTGCTCCACCTACAACTTTTTATTATTTAAGATGCTGTAATTCTTGCTCATAAGAAACATATTTCTTTTTATAAATATATAATTATCTAAAAGAATAAAAAATGTCAATTAACAAAAAAAATTCGTTTGAAGGGTTGTATGATCTACTTGCGCGCCTTGTGTAAATGCTAATTCCAAGGGTCTAAACATGTACCAGGACAACAATAATCACAGTATCAGTTATAAAAATACACGCATATTTTAATGTTAATCAATAAAATACCCAAATTAAGATGACCAAATATCATCGGGTCTCGAATTTATTCGTTAAAACTTAAAATAAAATAGCTAAATGAAGTCTATGATACAAGGGCTTCATTTTAATTTTTGGTTCATTTGAATGAAAGATTAATGATTGAACATTGACCTAATTAATTAGGTCAAAGTCGTTTTGGGTTTGCATTACTCTCGCGTAATTGTTTTACTCAAAATATTTAAATGTTTACACTAGAAAACAAACTATGATCGAATAACACGAAATTCTAGTTGCCATGTTCATGTGTTTTATTTAAGTTAATTTGTGGATGATAATAAATGCTACGAGTAAACTTTTCAATATTTTCGTGTTGTTTAGTATTGTCTATGTGTTGTTCTGAAGATGATTAACAAAATTAATGGATTGGACACGAGCTTAGACCTTGACTATGTAATCACATTACCGGTGAACGAAGCCAGGACGGTACGCAATGAACTGTTGCGCAAGGGAGTACCGCACACAGCTATAAGAGAGCAACAGGACTCCGAGTCGTTCAAGTACATGGATAAAATGCCGTCTTATCGAAGTCTACCACCATCGCAGTGTACATTTTTCATGCCCGAATGTGTATCGTTGGGAACATTTGGAAACGGACAGTTCAACGTAGTGATGCGTCGACGAACTTCTCCGGATGCCCGTGAAACCATATGGATATCTATGACTCCATCGTCGTGCAAAACGTCACCTCGACGCCGGAATACTATCAATAATAAACGCTACAACAGGGAGTCGATGTCTGTCACCTGGGTTACCTCCGTCACTAGCACCACGGAGAAACACCACAACGACCAAGTCCGACTGAAAAAGTGCTGCGACGACTGCGACGATTCTCGTGCAGCTCTCATAGAGTACTTCGCTTCCGACGAATTCAACGCTACCAGATGCGTTTACAAAAAAATAAAAGATTGCCTGTTCTTCGAACCAGATAAGTCTTTAATGACCTGTGACCTTTCATTAAAAAACCGCGAAAGTATCACTACCGTACCCAAAGAATACAGTTATCAAAGACAAATTGAAGAGCCGATCATCTCTCGTATTGAATATACAAGAACGATTCCAACTAACGTAAACAAAAATAATAAAAATTCAATCACGCCGTTAACTCAAAATGAGATTTCGATTGCACCAGCAACAAATATATCAGATAAAAATCAAGAAAAAAAAGCAAAAACAGAAATCAGAAAGAGTTCAAAATCAACTGCTCCTACAGTACATTCTACCAGCCGTAACAGTAGTATTGGAAAGACTTCATTGACGAGTTCTAATAAAAAGACAAATCAACAACAATCATTTTTCAAAGTACTATTTAGTAAAAAGAAAAACCCAGTTACTAATAAAAAAGGGACAATTATTTCGGATAAATTATCAAAGAATTCAAAAAATGATCAAATTGAAAATAGACGGATAATTGAAATAAATAATAAAACAACAAGGGTTTATAATAACAGAAGTAAAACCAGAAACGGTTTTAATAGTAAGAAAAAAAATTAGTTTCAGTTATATTCTAATTTGTATTTCAAATGTTTTTAATGTTAAACCTAAATATTACTCATTTAAGTCTAGCATTTTAATTTTAGACAAGGTAGTTTAGTAGACAACTAAAAAATTGTAATTGTATATTAACAAACGTTTTGAAATACAATATGATTTATTATGTTGGATGTTAATATATTAATATCCAACATAAAAAAAATCATATTGTGTTTTAAAGCAACACATGTATTAATGGCGTTTTGTAATAATAACAAAAATTAAATGAACATTTTTTATTAATGAATTTTCTTAGTTTATGTCTGTTAATGAATAGACAATGATAACATTTTGAAAGAAAAGTATATTAACACCAATAATATAAAATGTTAATGTTGTTCATCAAATATTACTAATAAAAGTATAAAATAAATAAATACACAAATACTCGGTTTCAATTTTTTACACATTTAACATTTCCTATCAATAATAAGAAATATAGACACAAATATAGGCTACCACATTAATATTTAACATTTTTTTATTTTAACCATTAAATATAATTTTAAGGTATTTATTATGCAAATATATTGCAATGTTCTATAAAGATTATAGGTATTTAAATGCAACTAATACATTTTTATAAGCATATAAATTAAAACTAATAAGTGATCTCATGAAGTTTAACTTAATTGTAGAAAAATTATATGATAGTTTGTACTTTTTTAATTTATAACACATTTATTAATTTGAAAAACAAGTAATGATATAAAATATAATTTTAAAAAATACAGTAATAGATACAACTAAATGAATTGAATGAATTTTATTGATACAATTTGTTTCATTTTAATGAGATCTAAAAAACAATATGAAACAACCGTTATAATAAATACAATCTATAAGAATATTAGTATGCTAGCTAATATTTAAAATAAAAATTTTTACATATTACATACATTTTTAAGCTTAAGTATTTTAAAAAAATCATTATTTTATACACAATTAAATATTCATGTTTTTTATATTATACAGGAAATAAGTCAATTTGAGATCTTAACTAAAATTAAAATTAAATATGTCATCCAATTATTTTTGTTTGCTAACCTAAATAGCTACTATAAAAGTTAGATTACTGTATTTTATATAATTAGGATTGGAAAAATAGTTTATCAATAATATTATAAAATATTAATATTTAAATTCAAAAAATTGAATGGCTACAAAAAAATAGTCAACACTACATGCATTTTTAGACTTACTAAAATATTGTTACATTCAATGTACAAAAAATAAATTATCTAAAATATTAAGTTTTAATCAATAATTATAATTTTGAAATAATGAATTATTTATTAACTAACTTTTAATTAAGTAATCAATTTTAATTACCAAAAAATACAAAATAATACTGTTGGGTAAAAAAAACACAAATAGTATTTGGTCTATCACAGGTAAAACATTAAAATTAATTAAATTAATTTATATCATGTGTCATGGAATAGTTTTAATAGTTTAAAAAATTAAGAATAATAGTTTCATATTTTTAATCCAATGCTGACTTTCTTGAAAATGATGCTAGTGATGACATTTCTGTTGGCTCTGTTGGAAGACGACTAAATTCAATTGTATCACTTGAACTATTATTTACATCTGTAAAAATAATCGTTAATTATTTAATAGCATAAAATTTTTAAAGATTATTATCATTTTTAAAGCCTATTAGCCGCCTGCTCATACTAAATATCCCACTGTTGATATATTACAATTTTACTAAATTGAATTTTATTAATGACAACATAAATATTTTACTTCCTTTTTAAATTATTAGATTATCATCAGTGCCTAATAAATGATAAATTATTAATCATTATTTTATACAGTTATATTTTATATCTTGAGTAAACAAAATTAATAAATAGTAATATATTACTATTTATTAATAGTTTATAAGAGTGGCCCTTAAAATCGAATGTCTTTTTTTTATATTACTCTTTAATTTTTTTTCAATCATTGATATATAATTGATACTACATTAAAACAATTCAATAAACTAAAATTAATACATTGATATGACAAAATGTAATAATACAATAAATTTAGTTAGATTTGTAATTAATAATTAATTAGCTGGCCATAAAATAATAAATCTAGTATAATTTTAGTACTTAGCATAAAAAATTTAACTTATAGAATTTTTTTTTTTAACAAATAAGAGTTTTTTGAGGAATAAAGTGAAAATAAATAAGTAAAAAAAAACAAAATCAGTTATAACGTGTATTTTTAAGATTTTTACATGTTTTTTTACTGAATGTAGTGTTTTTTAAGATATTAATTAGGAAAATAACATTGAAGTTATTATTTATGAATTTCTTGTAAAAATTCCTTTACTTGAGTTTTACTTTCATAATTCTAAGTTAGCAAAAAAAGTTATGAAACATGGATCAGTTATTTCTATTAAATTTGTCACTACCCATAAATCAATAGGTTCGGAGGCAAGAGTTAACTTTAACGGATCAATACCAAATATTGCACAGCTCATTTTTAAGAGCATTTAAAAAAAATTTAAGGAGTAGCGTAAAAAAAAAAAACGGTAGCACAGTGTGGTCGAGGCACAGTGTGGACGAGGCATAGATGGGACAAGTATAGATGATATCTGACAGTGATTAAAATCACTATCATAAGAAACGCTTCGATGCAAATCTGTAGATAGTGTTTCCTTTAGAGAAATTGGTGAAATATTTTAAAAGCAACATGAACTCTTATTTCTTTAATTATATCCTGATTAGTAGTTCTTTGATTTTAAAATATAATATATGAATAAATACTAATTATAGTTTTTAAATTTAGTATGAAATTGTGAGGCCAGCTATGATGTATGGTTCATAGTGTTGGGCGGTTGATAAGAAAGTAGAGCAGAGAATAAGTGTAGCAGAGATGAGAATGCTTAATTGGATGAGTGGAGTGACTAGAGAAGATAGGATAAGGAACGAGCATATAAGAGGAAGTATAGGTGTTGCGTCAATCGTGGATAAGATGACAGAAAATAGACTTAGATTGTTTAGTCATGGTATGAGGAAAGAAGAATCGAAAGCTGTAAGAACAGTTATAGAAATGAATGTTGAAGGAAGAAGAGATAGAGGAAGACCAAAAAAGAGATGGAGGGATGCTATTGAATGCGATTTGAGGACAGCTGATGTGAGCGTAGAAGATGTGGGAGATCGTGTCAAGTGGAAGCTTAGGATAAGGGTGGCCGACCCCAAGTAGTTGGGATTAAGGCAAAGAAAAAGAAAAATATTACCAGAAATTCCGGTGGCAATTGACATAATATGATTGTTGTTTCGGAATGTACAATTTAGCGTTTAGTTGGGTTTAAATAATATAGCGTCAAATCAATTACCTACTCTATCGGTTGTATCTCAATATACACTACACTTTAATGATACAATAAATAAATAAACTCACACATACACACATATGCATTTATAACATTGTGTCTAATGTAAGTATAACATGATAAAAAGTAACCGTAAAATGAAAAAAATGGAATATAAATTTTATTACTCATATTAAATGTAATGTAACTCGAAAAATATTTGTTTAAATGAAAAAATATAAGATTATATTTTTATTTATAATTGTCTTTTAAACAACTTTTGTGCGAAACTTTTTTTTGTAAGTTAAATATTTTTTTTTGAGAAAATTAAGAAAGCTCATATTTTTGAACTTTTGCGAGGATTTAAAAAAAAAGCTCAATTCCAATCTTGAGGACTATTAGTATGTCATTATACATATTTTAATTCAACTTTTAAAAAAACAAAATTTTTTCCGCAATTTTTCCTTTGTTGACAGGCCTAGATGTCAATTTTAAACTTGTAATTGAGCTAAAAGTTATGGTAATATATTCAATTTATTTTACTATAAACTTTCATAAATCTTTATCAAAAATTTTTCATCAACTTTAAAGAACCAAAAAAATAGGTTAAAATTGAAAATTTGGACTGATTATTTTTAACATATTAAAAATCAAATCAGTAATAATTTGAAAACAAATTTTTTTTTCTTTTAATTATTATTTTATATATATAATTAGTAATAATATAAAAAATTAGAAGTGATAGAAATAGTCTACTTGCAGATTTGAAAACAACGCGAAAATTTGATTTAGAAAAGTATATTTTTGCTTCTGATGAAAGTTCCTTGTAGTCCAGTGCATTTTTTTATAGTAACAAACAGTTTTTATTGAAAATTATTGTATCAAGCCCTTTAAATTTTTATACACGTAAAAGTAAAGCAAAATATAACTTCTTTATTATTTTTATAATTTCTCCGTTTAAATTACAATATTAAATATCAATTTCATACTAAATTTAATAATTATAATTAGTATATATTCATATATTATATTTTAAAATCAAAGAACTACTAATCATGATATAATTAAAGAAATAAGAGTTGATGTTGCTTTTGGAATAATCCACCAATTGCCTAATTAAAACAAAAAAAAAAAAAGTTTGTTGGGAATTTTTTCTGCTATTCTTCAAAATTACTCCTTCGTTGACTAGAATGAATCATTAAATAGAAAATTTTATGAGAATTAAAACAATGTTATTTTTAAGATTAATATGCAGTCAGAAAGTTTTATAATTACTATTTATTGTAAATTTATCAGAAAAACTCATTATTTTTTGCATTTTTATCGTAATAGATAACTTAAATAGAAGTAATAGTAATAATTTCCTAGTAACTTTTGTTGTTTTTAGAAAAAATTCTACAATTGAAATATTCAGAAATTAATTAATTTTAATGATTTATTTTAACTAAATGTACCAATCAAAACAAAGTTGTTAAGAAGATTTACTCAATTGAACATATTATAAAATTTTTATTATATTTGAAAAAATCAATTGTTAATTCAGGAGAAAAAACATCATTTTTTATTTAATATTAATTATTAAAAAATAAGTATTTACATATAAAAAAAAATAATTAAGAACAAAAAAAATTGTATTAAATTAATACTGATTTTGATTTTTAATATGTTAAAGGTAATCATTTTGAACCTATTTTTTATTGTCTTTTAAAGTGAAAGTTTTAATGAAAAATACCTTCTCAGCTTCGCATCGAAGCTAAAAAATGAATTTGTTACCATAACTTATAGTTCAACTTGCAAGTTTGAAATTGACATTATTAAATTGAAAAAAATGAAATTTTTAAGATTAATATGCAATCTGGAAATTTTATAATTACTA